ACCCTACCCTACCCAACCCTACCCTACCCTACCCTACTCTACCCTACCCTACCCTACTCTACCCTACGCTGGAAATTTTTCTGATAATCGCTGGAAGTTTTCGGATAATTGCTGGAAGTTTTCTGATAATCGCTGGAAGTTTTCGGATAATTGCTGGAAGTTTTCGGATAATCGCTGGAAGTTTTCGGATAATCGCTGGTATTATTCGGATAATCGCTGGTAGTTTTCGGATAATCGCTGGAAGTTTTCGGATAATCGCTGGTAGTTTTCGGATAATCGCTGGAAGTCATCGGATAATTGTAGTGATCTTGTTTATGTGTCAGGCCTCGTCCTCGCACTTAGTAATTTGCATGTCTCGTAAGCCTCTTGTTAGCCAGAGACTCGTCACGACCTGATGTTAAGGTGTCCAGTCAAGTGTTCAAAGCTGGCATGATAGATGTGTGTGTGTGTGTGTTACGGCCCATCAAACAGGCCACCAGGAAGCTGCACTCGCCCGTAATATCTTTGATCATCAGCAGTGCAGGTGAGTCAAGGTGTGGAGGTGTGCGTGTGTGTGATTAACCTCCCCTGCAGCCGTCCTCACACCTGCCAGGATAACAGGTGATCCACGTAGAGAGAGAGAGAGAGAGAGAGAGAGAGAGAGAGAGAGAGAGAACACACACACACACACACACACACACACACACATACACACACGGTACAAGTCTATTTTGTAAATAATGCTGAGAAGTGACACACTTACGTTGTCTCACAGTTACAGTGGAGTGTCTCTCTTCCTTCTTATCTTACGAGTGTATATATATATATATATATATATATATATATATATATATATATATATATATATATATATATATATATATATATATATATATATATATATATACTTGTATAGGTAAAATAAAACACGCTTCACAGCCTGGCGGCAAGATTAAAACATAGAAGTTCAAAAGCGAGAGAAAAATCTTAATTTTCTGCAACTTTGTGGTTACGATAAAATAATCTTGGTGTTGAAATTTTGAGTAAAAATAAGAATTTGAGTTTATTTTTATATACAACTCATATAATAGTATAATATATACTTACTCCTATATATTAGACATCTACTCTTGTTTAATAATGTTCTATATTATTCTAATGTATCCTGTAGTGTTATATAATAATTGTAAACCGTAACATCTTTCTCTAAACTGGAGTTCATATAAAATTTACTGGTGTTTAAGAGCCACGAATTAAGTATTTATCAGTGTTGTGTTTTAGTGATGTGCCAGTCAGGAGGATTTTAATTGTAAAACGTTAAAAGTTTTCTGTTGTTTTGTGTAAGTAATAGAGATGAGGCAGACAACACAAACGCCTTCATAAACAACATAACAGATGACACAAACACCTCCACCAACATCAAAGGAAAGACTCAACACAAACGTCTCAACAAATGATTCCACAAAAGCGAATTTAATTTTTTTGGAGTCATATTCAAGTCATCACGCTAAGGCAATATATTCCATTAAAGTCTTGTGTGTGTGTGTGTGTGTGTGTGTGTGTGTGTGTGTGTGTGTGTGTGTGTGTGCGTGTGTGGTCCTGGGTTAGCATGGAAAGGACTTATGGAAAGGAAGAGAAATTCAAGGGAAAGATATATAAGTGGAAGACACAGACAGACAGATACAACACAGAGACAGACAGACTGGAGAGTGGTAGAGTCCTTGATAATATACCTGCAACATACATTAGTGTGACCCATGATGCATGCAACACACAGTGAGAATCTTACGCTGTATTTATGCAGCACACACACACACAACTTCCACCGAATTGAACGAGAATTATTGATACCACGTGCAACATGCAATGGTAGGTGTGTGACGGGTATTTATACAATATAGTGTTTTCCAGTACCATAAGTAACAGACTACAATATGCAACTTGTACTGAGTTATATAATACTTATTGAATGATATTGTATTTGCAATGCAACCTGCAATGTGTATATATCAGTCACATTTGCATGATTGTGTAAAAAAATAAGTTGATGGTAATTGCAATATGTAGTCAGTTTATTGAGATTTATTGACGATACTGTATATGTAAATCTCAGTGAGTGGTTTAAAGATTACTCATGTATGGTGCAGTAGAAAGTGTGGGAAGAATATTAGGGCGTGGGAAAATGCATAGGAAGCGTGGGAAAAAACATACGTACCGTGGGAAAAATATAGGTACCGTGGGAAAAATATAGGTACCGTGAGAAAATCCATATGTCCCGTGAGAAAATGCCTAATTACCGTGGGAAATAACATAGGAAGCTCGGGAAAAAACATAGGTACCGTGGGAAAAAAATCCTAGGTAGTGTGGGGAAAACTTTAACGACCCTCGCCACATGCAGATGGGCGTGTGAGTCGGAC